AAATTTTCTTAAAATTATACCAGACAGAGATATATAAATTCTGACGGAACAAATAGAAAGGATACAACAGAAAAATAATTTATGGGTCTGTTTTTATAGCTGTTGGCTGTCCAGAATAAGCTTTAAAATTGAAGGCTTCCACTGTGAAACCATGGTGCATGGAAGAAATAAAACAGATAATTTAGGGAAAATAATCATTACATAAATGGCCGTGTATTTACAAAATCATTTTAGATTCCACCGAACGCAGCATAAAGCCAAAAAATAATAATTATGAACACTCCGGTGCGCACCTCCTCCTCCAACAACTACTGCATCGCATCCTATAAATTTGTATATACAGAAGTATTTGTGGTCAAATATATATATCTGTATGCCCGTTTTATATCATTTATTCCCGACATGTTAAACCTACGAATCCATATTTTTCTTAATAAACGATGTTATCTACATTAAAAGAAGAAGACGGACTTAGCTTCATAATAGGATGGTAATAATATGATTTAAATTCGTCAATTGATGAGAATTGAACTTAAAACCTCTAATTTACAAATAAGAAAAAATATCACTAGACCGTAATATTAAGTAGCTCCACAAATTGAATTCTTAATGCAATCAACCGAGCTCCGATCCCTCACTCCTTTACCCATCTCTTTCTCTCTTTCTATTACGAGTGTCGACAGGTCAGGACTCAAGAGGCTAATTTCCAATGCGTCATTGCTTACATTACAAGAAAAAGATGTAAATCATGACTATTATTTGTCGTGATGAATAAATATATCATCAACCGCTCAAATGGTGTTGTTTGATTTGACAATTTTTTCCTTCCATTTGATGTTCAAAGTTTTGTCAAATTATTGATGTTTGAATTTATAAATCAATTTATACTCACAGTTTTCCTTTAAGTTTTCAGTTTTTTAAATCTCAAAATTTGTTTAGTTAAATTTAATTTTCGTTTAAAAAATAAAAATTAACAACTGAAAACTAAAATAATTACTAAAAGGATCCTTAATTTGTTGTAACAAACGTAGTGGGCACACGCAAATTAAAGCACGAGTGCCGTTGAGTTGAAAAATATGGTTTGGAGATAGAGGGGGAGCGTTGGTGATTGTCTCATCTCACGATTTTGCAGTTAAAGCTAGCCCCATCAAATGAGGAAATTTTGTAGAGTGTCAAGGACAGTCTGATACACAAAGTATCATAATATAAATAGTTATAATTTTTTTTAAGTATCCAATCACTTATATTTTAACATTTTATATATTGGGACGTGTTCTAAGCACACCGTAAAATCTTCTCATTTAACACATTTGCCACTTTCCTTGTTAATCATTTCATATTTGCATGTATATATTTTCATTCATGCGTAACTGACACCTATCCTATGATTGAGCATCTGAACTAAGTTTTTCAAAGTTGGAGTCACCACCACTAATTTATTTTCTTTATGTTTGTTTGTTGGTGGTTAACATAATAAATAAAGGCGTTTTGATTGAGGACGCAATGTACAGTTGCTTTCGTCTTTCAAGCTCATTTCTCATCGATGGAACCTTAATATATATCTCTTAGCAAGATTAATCAAATATCCCAACCACTTTGTTTCGTTGCTTAATCATGTCCATCCATCTTTATATAAATAGCCAGCTAGCTACATGGTCACGGCCTAAACCCTAGCATATGGTAGTTAATTTTAACCTTTTTCTAGACTAGGTCAACATTAATCGATAACGATATCAATGTCTTCAATAAAAATGATGGAAATTTGCTTAAAGACGTGAAAATTTAAATTGAAACTTTAGGGAATGTTAATATATCAGAAGTATCGATGAAATATGTCAATTTTAATCGAAACTTAAGAGTTTATTCAGTATAGAGTGAAGTCTAAGAGCTCGTTTGGATATACTTTTAAAATGACCGAAAGCACTTTTAGAGAAAAAAAATTTGGGTTCCAAAAGCACTTAAATTACTTTCTGCAATAAGCATCAGTTATGTACTTCTTCTAGGAAGCACTTTAAGTGCTTTTTCAATAAGCACCATTGACGAATTGACGAATTGACGAATTGGAGAAAATTTTGGTTCTAAAAATATTTTCTCCAAAAACGATTTCAATTATTTTAAAAACACATCCAAACAAGCTCTAACCCATTTTCATGTCTTCTCTAATTTTTCCGTATTTCCACTCAAATGTAAAAAAAATGAATACACACACACACACACATCACAGCTAGAATTTTAGTTGATATATCATATATAGGAATTTGTCTAAACCATGAGTTATAATTTAATATATCTTCATTAGGAAGTCTTTTTCTTGGACAACTGTAAGAACGAATATTTAGAAACGAAATCAATATCATCCACCACTCAACTTTGGCATGGTTTTTAATTAGTGCACATATGATAGATAGATATATGCGGGCCAAATAGGTGCCTGCCAACTAGTCGATGTATGCATATTAACGAAAGACATTCACAAGAAATACATGCCGCTCATGTTAACTCGATCCATATCCCTTCGTGTTATTGTCATGCATCTAAATTTTTCGCATGATCCCAAAATGTCTACAACATACATGCATCTAAATTTTTCGCATGTTCCCAAAATGTCTACATATATGTTGTCGTTCATCAGGCAAAATAAATCGAAAATCAACTTAAAAGACATAAATTTGACAATGCTTGGAAAACTTTGAACTTTGGTCTGATTTGAGCCCGCGACTCACCATTTCGAAGAGAAGGTTATCACGAGTCAAACATAATGCTTTGCTGTGACATGAGCTTTTTCAACCGAATTCTATCAATTAAAATGTGTAATAGGATTCTAAGTTTTTAGGATATTTTCGAGATTTTGTTATTTGTTTAATTCATTTCTTATTTGAACTCTTACAAAGTTGAGGACTAAAAGACACCATACAAACCTCCTTTAGGGTACTAGGGTTTGTTATCTCCCATATTATCAATCAATAAACTTTGACCCTTTTTCTCTAATGATTTCCGATATCCTCATCCTTTAAGTTTTAATTTGATACTTTTTTTTTGTCGTTGAGTCTCCTTTGCTCTTGCTGCATGAAAGTAGTAATAATATCATAGCCCATCGAGACAATTGATAAATTGGATACAGCTTGATCCTTTTACTTGCTACATCCAAATGATTCACACAAAACTAAATTCTTTTAAAATAGCGTAATTACTAGTTAAGAATCGATATTATATGGTATCAAACATTTACGTGCAACACAAGTTTGTCTATCAGCTCCCTATACCTTCCTGGACTCGATAGTATAATTAATAAACTAATATATTGGTTAAAAAACTAAATTTTCCAGTAAGCAAGCATAATCCAAGAAGATTAAAATAATGCGGATAAAATTTTAAAGAATAAAAGTTCAAATAAAGAAAGTGTTGAAAGCGTGATGGAACTGGAAGGAAGCGAGAGATTTTCAATGTGCTTGTAACGCATGACGGTATATTACGTGTCTTTATACAATTAGAGGGACACTTGAAGAAAAAAAAAAAAACTTTCCTCCACTTATAAAAAGACATATATAGTACCGCCTCATATTCCGATTACATTGAAAAATCTAAGTATCAGTCTCCATCAAGTAGTTATGCTGAGAAACCTAACTCGGAAATTAAAGAAGCTTATCTGACAACCACTAGGACTCCGTGATGATTATTTATCTGTATATTATGAATGTTAATCCCACAAATAGATAATTAAAAATGATTGTCTTGAGTATGCAGTCATGATTAGGAACAATCAAAAACATTTTAATGGCAGGAAATGCTTGCATCAATGATAGCAAATCCATTGTCTTTTTCCCATTCCTCAAATTCATCATCCTTCCTCCATAACCCTAGCTATACAACTAGTCTTTGGTTCATCATAGCTATGAGGGTAGGAATAACTTGTAAAAGTAGAGTCTACATGTATTGGATTGGTATTGCTATGGCCGTAAATTCTAAAATGGACCGGCTCATGTCATGATTCAAGATTCTTAGTTGCTGTGTCATTAACTAAAAATTCTGATTCATTGTATGAGCTGGTCCATGTATAAAATCCCCTACTATGGCTAGCAAGTATGTAGCAACTTGGGATTGAAAAGGTAATCACTTTGAAGTGTGGTCCTAAACATGAAATTCCAAGTGCATGCAAGCTCATGAACATAATCACTACCAGTAGTACTCTTTGTTGCCTTTCGTAGCAGGGTCCAAGGGAGGAATTTGTGGGAAATCAAATGTCTCTAGACTTTTTATTATGCGGCTAATTCTTAAGAAAGGGATTGGTCTTTTGCATATAACTAGTCAACGTCATATAACCAATTCAAGTTTGTAAGTTTGTGTTTGTTTAAGAGTATACAATTATTTGAAAGTAACATATGAGAGTTTAGGGTCCTCATAGCCTATTGCAGGCCGGTCCTGTATTCTATCTGACGGACAGTAATGACTTCAAGATTGGTCTGTAAGTCCTAATCCAGTTCAGAAATATGGGTCAGGCTAACCCAATTGTAAAAACCAAACCTTTGAGGTCTGACTTTTTCTTCCGTAGATAGATCAAACCTCAGGGGGTTCTTGTGCCACCAACATCGTTACTAAGATGGAGCTCTCAAGCAATGACGGAGCTAACATAGGGTTATTGGCTGTTAAATTGTCATATTCTTCATTCACTGAAAAATAGTTTGTGAGTAACATAACAAAGGTTGGAATAACCTCGCATGGATTTATTTGTTTGAAAAAGGCTAACCTTTACCTTTTCAGTCTATTCTGCAACCACATTTTTCTCTTTGGAAAAAAAGAATTCCTCAAACAGCTAGATAGCTAGGACGCCTCTACAAAGTGTAAAATTAAGAGAGCGGATATATACTTGGATCAATCATCTACGCGAACTTGTGATGCTTTGGTTTTTCCTTTTTCTTATAATAATTGGGCAAAATAAATACCTTAGTAGAAAAATGAGGTGGTTTTATTTTGTCCTTCTGATGCTTTGATAAAGTTCAAAGTTTCCCCAGGAGAGATTCCCAAAACCAACACAACAAGCAATCCCAAGAACAATGCATGCATTTTTAATGACAACCTCTTTAGCATAACACTCGCACATCAAAATTATAGGAACGAAGTAGACCCATCAACCCTCATCATTAATTCCCTAGATTAATTAACTTCGCCGTCATCTGTCCTCTGATTACTTAATTGCAATGCATACTACTATAAACTATAGATACGAACGATCAGCCTCTCGGTTGACAGTAGGTGCACACTTGTTTGGCATCTTAGGACTCATACTCTTGCTTGTTTGGCTCCTGCATTACCGTGGTGGCATCGACTATGATTCTGATAATTCAGATCGAGTTTTCAACGTAAGTGATCATTAACCATCACAATCCAGCCATTACTATTTGCTTGCTTAATATTGGCTCAAGTTAAAGTTAAAGTCATTTCCTTAATTTGGCAGGTTCATCCGTTTCTTATGTTCTTCGGGTTTATTTTTTTTGCTGGTGAAGGTACGTACATATTAGGGTACTAGGGTTTAATTTCTTATACATTATACGTGTACTTATGCTTAAGTACTAATATCTGAACGAAATATTATTGCATGTATTTGATACACCAGCGATGATGGCATACAAGACCGTAATGTCGCGACACAAGGTGCAGAAGTACGTTCACGCCCTCTTACATCTGGTAGCTCTAAGTTCCGGGATATTTGGGATATGCGCTACTTTTAGATACCATGACATGAGGGACATAGATCACATGTATTCACTGCATTCATGGATTGGCTTGACCACCTTTATCTTGTACGGTTTGCAGGTACGTACGTATAAGTAATAACGAAACCTTCACTAATTAGTTAATTAAAGTAAATATATTGTTCCTTAATTACTTAATTAAGCATGTATGCATGGTTTGATGTGGCATGCAGTGGCTGTTTGGAGCTGCTACGTTCTTGTTTTCAAGAGGTATGTCAGAGTCGTCGAGGCTCAGAATAGTTCCATGGCATATGAGTATGGGTAGGGCACTGCTGTACTTGTCGATCTGTGCTGCCCTAACTGGTCTGATGGAGAAATTCACATTCCTTAGAATTTCGAATGTGCTGGGTCGCAGGGAATCACACTTGATCAATTTCACTGGACTAGCAATCCTCCTGTTTGGCATCTTCGTCGATCTCTCTGTCGCTCTTGCCCGTTATGTGTGATATATAGTTTCTTAATTTAAGTCCAATCCTTTTTTTTTTCAGCTGGTTTATTCAGTTGAACACATTGGGTTGGTGTTATATATAATGTTAATTATTTCCTATGTATAATCCTTTTTTCTTTTGGTGTGATTAATTTGAGCGAATTTATGTATTCGAGGGTTCATGTGTAAGACCAATATATTCATTATGATATGAATTCAATTATTTTTCTATTAATGATCAGATAATGTGTTGATTCCTTAATCGGTATAAGTTTGTAAATTGTATCAGTCCCTAATATTTGGAATCTTTTCTAACACAATTTACTTATAGAATCACCTCCTAATAGTTCGCATCTTTAATGATGATGTGACATTATTTTATCGTACAAACATCATGATCAGAATTGTTCATTTTCTTAATCATATTCTAAAGATAATTTTTATAAAAGTTTATTCGACTTAGAGACTATATACTTAGAAAATGTATATGCTTGATTGGGGTGCTTTGTAAATGTGATTGACGACGAGTTAATTTAGCCGTACGTGACACACAGAAACAGAATGCAAAACAAACATATTCGAAGCTTTTGGCCTGGCCACCTAAAAAGATCAGCCGGCTAGACGGTTTTCCATATTCCAAATATTGCTTGGCGGCATCGATCCTTCCATATTCCAAACATTGTTTAGTTTGGGCAAATAAAACTCTAAATCTTTACATTGATTTCATCCAAACTTCCATGCTTTTCTCGTCGACACCGTTTCTCTTATGATTTAAATACAGTCCTAGTAAAGCTTGTAGCTCTTGAGAGGATTACACTCACACGTTACAACAATGGCAACCAAGAGTCGTAGCTACCAAATATCAGCAATCCCAGCTACAATATTTGGGCATTTGCTAGCTATAGCCATAACAATCCTGGTTCTTGTTTGGATCCTAAAGTTCCGCGGTGGCTTCGCTCTCGAAACCCTCATCAAAGAGAAAATTATAAATGTACGTTACGTAAATTTTTAAATCTTGCATACATATCATAAGTGAAGTTTATATGATCATATCCTTCATCTCATCATATTCTTCCTCTCATCTTTCACAGGTTCATACGTTTCTAATGGTGGTTGGGTTTATATTGATCGGTGGAGAAGGTAATCATATTGGAGCTCACTAGGTCAAAAAAATGTGTCTATAACCTTGCTAGAACAAATGTGCCCTCTTCACAGTTCATATTAGTTTAAAGTAGACTATCGTTTATATAAAAAAAACATTGCTAAATATCCCTAGAATATTAAGGACTGATCTGATGGGGTAGCAATTTATTGGTGCAGCAATCATGGCATACAAGACAGTCCAAGGGGAAAGGAACACGCAAAAAGGGGCGCACCTGATATTGCATCTTCTAGCTCTGGTGGCTATAATTTTTGGGTTTTACTGTGCCATCAAGTTTGATCACGAATCCGGAGTTCAACATTTTCTTACCTTACATTCCTGGCTCGGCATAATCACCATCTCGTTATTTGGTCTTCAGGTAATACTGACACCTTACGATACTTAAAATACGTCAACACCTTATGGCGTCATGTCACTTTTGCGGAGAAGCGCCTCTTATTAACTAAATGATCATACACTTATATTAATGCTTGTTTTCCAGTACTTGTTTGGCTTCGTGCTGTATGTGTTTCCGGGTGGCGACAAGTCGTCGAGGGGAAATTTTATGCCATGGCACACATTTTTCGGGATGGTGGTATTTCTGCTAGCAGTGTGCACGGCTGAGACAGGGTTGCTGGAGAGGTTCCTTTTCTTGGGCGTAATAAAAATGAATGAACAAGTACTGATAGTCAACTTCATTGGCCTTTTGCTCTTTCTCTTTGCAGCCACCGTCAGCCTCACCGCCCTCCTCCCTGGGCCTTACTAATTGATCATACCAATTATTCATCTTTACCTGAGTATTTTCTCTTGTCAATATGTTGTTTTGAGACGAATTAGTTTTGTTGTGTTTTTTTTTATACAACGTTATATTTACGCTAAGAAGTGGAAAATAACAATGAGTAGTAGTGTTAGGGCTCATTGGAAATGTTTTTAAAATAATTGAAAGCGCTTTCAGTTATTTTAAAAGTACTTCTAAATGAGCCCTTAAATATTAGTTCATTACCACATTCATAAAAATTTGTTGAGCCATATGGCTAGCCTATTTGTATACTTAAATTAATAAAGCAATGCACATTCAAGAAAGATTATTCTCATCTTACTTTACATCGTAAGTAGATCAGTACCGTTTTACTTTTAGCATAAGTTTCTCATTCTTTTCGACATGTGTATATGTTGTATTTTGCAAATCTACAATCACAAAGTAAGATGCTTTTAATTTAAGTGATTACCAATATTTGCTTTTATATTCGAGATCTGTGTTTGAATCTGCTTCCAATATAAAAGCAAAACCTGAAATCACTAAGTAATGATGGTGTTTTTGAACCCACAACATTATTAGTTTTAACAATGGTGGAAGTGGTGGCACCAATGCAGTTTTTCTTGGTGCAAGCGGAGTTTGCATACAGACTTTTTTTTCTCACCGTGTGATTTGATCAAGCGGCTGAAACTGAGTGATTTGGTGACCGGTTTTGATACAAAGTGGGAAGTTTTGTGTAAAAAAAATAGGCGGTTGTGATGCGAAATATGATGTTTTGTGTAAAAAAATAGCTGTGATTCAGGTGTTTTTGAATAAGACGGAGCAAATCTTTGCATTAGAAAATAAAGGCTTTGTACAATGCCTCACACTAGAAGATACGTCCTTGCATTGTTTATATAAGGTTGTGCACACATAGGTGCTATGTAATGTGCCACCGTTGAGCGCTCATGTGTGTGTGTATATATATATATATTGTCGTTACGGAGAAATTCTTATGTTCACCAGAGGACAGCCTCATTTGTACGGCCACACGTGGAATTTTGTAATGGACTACAATGCAGAAGGTGGTCTTGCTTAATTGTGTGTATGAGCATGCGAAAGACAATCTTCCTCCAGACGGACACAAGAATCTCTCGTTGCTATGGCAAAGAGGGAGGTAGAGGGAGGCCTTGTGCAGCGTTGCTATGCTCAACCACTGTTATCCAGGAGAATTTTTTTAGTGTGCGGGAAACACAGCCTGTACACTCCATGTCATAAACCAACTTGTAATATGACACTTGATGTACCAAACTGCGTTCCTAGCACACTGGAAAATCTCTCGAGGCAGAGCATATGCAGATGGAATGATGCCAGCACTAGCTATATAATCAATTGAAGAATAAGGTTCGAATTCCACAATGCGAGACAATCTTTCACTTTGATTAAAATAACAAGCAGAATCCAAAACTGAATAACACTAATCAATATACTTAACACAGTCAGCACCATTGTTAAAAAAGAATTAAATAAAAGAACAGAAACTAGACCCTTTGCTGCTTTGTTGCTTCCATTCTCTCCAACAAGCCAGCAATCTCAGCTTGCATTCTAGTTTTCATGTTGTAGTAATCGCAATGTGAACTTTCCAAAATTTTCAGCTCCTCCAGTTTCTTCCTTCGCTTTTCCTCCGTCTCTTTCAGACACAATTTGGAAAACTTTCCGGCGTACTCTTCCTCCAGCTTCTCTGTCTTTGTCCGTATCATCTGATGGTACCCTTCTGCCTCTCTCCGCGCTTCATCAGCCTTGCTCTGGAACATTCTAGCTTCCGCTTCCTTTATCCTCACTACGCTTTCCAAGCTCTCAAACCCGTCTATTTTTGGTAATGTTCCAAACTGGAACTCATCCTCATTGCTTATATGGGACGATTTGAGGGGGTTCTGACGGGTATCATTAGACAGCGAATCACATTGCATACTAGAACTAGTGTTGTAAACAGCATATTTAGGAGGTACAGAAACAGATTGTGAAAAAGGGGTCGAATCTTTTCTCAGGCAGGCTTGAGAAGCAGCCAACTCTTTTGTGGATATGGTAGAAGCAGGATATTCTGACACTCCATCTGTATCTATTTAAAAGGAAAAGCAAATCCAGATTTAGGCATGAACAGATACTGAATAACACATATATCTAAGTCGAGGAAGAAACATTTAGAATGAGTATATAAGCAAACAGTTCAACTCAAGCTGCATCGAGGAGATTCAAATCAAAAGTGAAACCAGAAGGAAAGAAGAAAATAGGCCAACACAACAAAAAAGTAAGCTGTAGAGATTAAAATGGTTTTTAACAGCCACAGGCATATGATCCTCATTGTAGCTATGCAGACAGCCAGTCACAAGCCTCAAGTAATCAACTCGGACAAGGCTCAAGTAATCAACTCAGAGTATTCTATTTGACATAGTTCATATTACGCTAGCCTCCAATACGTGCATAGAGTACCCAATCAAGTTCCTTGATTGGACTCGTACAATAGACCTTCAGTGATTGTTTTCTAATTTGATAAAGTAACATTATGCTACAGTAGTATACGGCGAGCTGAAGATTATATAGAATTATCATCTCTATGGTTTTATATTCAACATGTGAAGAAATAAAAGGTTGTGTGGTGTTTCTAATACAAAGATTGCTAGTTACGTTTTCTCCAAGACACTCTTTATCATCTACCTTAACATTTCACTTTGGTACATCAATACATTGCCCACATTAATGCCCAACATTTGTCCCATAAACAGTAGCTGACCAAATGGCAATTCGTCGAATTTTTGTTTACATCTATTTAGTATGCTTTTTGTCACAATAGTTATAAGTCATTCTTAACATGCAAGGAATAAGCCACACTTATGCATAAGCAGTTCATACTCCCCCACTGGACTAGCAGAAGACAAACAATTTGAAAGTAACAGAATCACATACAAGTTGAAATAGAAAACCGAAGAGGGTGACTTACAGTTAAAGAACTGAATAATGAAACTGCAGGCGTCTGAAGGAGACATCAATTGGCTTCCAAGCTTGGAGATGATCTCCTCAGCCTTAATATGCAGTTCCCGGCCTTTAAAATCGTCGCTTCTCCTAAAAATCTTCTTAACACAGTCAAGCTCCTTGATAAGGGTCTCTAGTCCCCAGTCTTTTGCACAGCACAGAAACACATCCTTGACAAAACCAAACATTTCCGAAGCATGGCCGCATCCAATGCAATGAAATTGCATCTCAGTTGTCCCAGAGGGACCTTTCAAGCTAGGACCTGGTTTAATGAGGTTCCTCTGAATACCACAAGCAGCGTGACACCAATGCGAACAAACATCACAGCCAACCCAACCACAAGTATTATTGGCACAGTCGAAATTCAAACACACAGGACACATGCAGGAACTACAAAACCCCTTATTTGCAGAGCAAATTTTGCAGTCACAATCATCAACAGGCAATAAGCTCTTGCAATTCACATTCTTACACCTCATAAACGAGAAAATCTCCACCAGCTCGGTTGCTGGAAGGCGGTTTTTCCCAGATACAAAGTTCCCGAGTCCCATTTTCACAGCAACCAACATCTCCAATTGATCCTTCTGACATTTAGAGAGATTCTCCTTTGTAAGATCAGACCTTCTCTGAAGCCGGTTTTGAAGGCTCACCAATTCTTCCTTCTTCTCCGGCGTGGATATCAGATTCTTCAAGTATTCCTTAGTTGATAAGAGCATTTCCTCACGAAGCTCTTGAACTGTCTGAGCCATGACAGTAACAGATTCCGAAACAACTTCGTGAAGAATTCTCTCCGGTCTAGAAAGTTTCCTGGCTCTCCCACCAACATCCATACTCTCCAATCCTCTCAAACTTTCAGAACCTCTCCCTCTAGAATCCCCAGAAAGGGTATCGATTGTCGGCTTAGCAGGCAATTCAGATGGAAAAAAGGAAAGGTTATCAGAGCTAGTTGTCCTATAAACACTGTTATTATTACAAGAATCCTTACGATTACTCTGCATCATTGACAAAATCCCGCCGCCGTGATTCGACAAACCAACTCCATCTCCAATCGGCTTAAACCTGCTATGAACAGACCCATTAGTCCCCTCCCCACAGTTATAAATTTGATCATCTTTCCCAACAGAATAATCGAAATCCGTCGAATTTCGGGTAAGCGAGCAACTGGGGTTGTGGGAAAATGGGTGGGAGTAAGAGTACGACAATGAAGCTGCTGTGAAATCATTGGAGCAGGTTGTCTGTGTGTTGTTAGCAGACGGCGCCAACGACTGTATGCTTCTACTCGGCCGCAGCATCGCCGGAGGATCGCCATTCTGCAAGGCGTTTGAGGCGGTGAGAGAGAGAGATACCTCCGGCAAGGCTAGAGAGAGATTCAAAGTCTCGAGCTTTGGCTTTTTGTCGTCCCTGCTTTCTCTCTCCGCCTCCTCCGCAAGCTCTCGCTTCGAGCAATTCAACCTGGTTTCGTTCAAATTAAGGAAATCTCTCTCTACCCATTTGTTAGAATTCTCCGAAACCATGGCTTCTTTACCTTTGAAACTCTCTTTCTCCAACGAAGTCAGCAAATTTGCGCCGGCGAACTCCTTCTCGAGAAAACCCAGTTTGGAATTGTCGCAGAGGTAGCTGAGAGTCAGCTCCTGGGAACTTAAATTTCCAGTCTTTGAGGGTTTTGATTGGAACCCATCAGAACCCATGTCTGATTCTCTGAGAAATCCGAACCCCTTTTCGGAGAATCCCATTTTCTCTTCTGGGTTGTGTTTATTTTGCTTGGAGATATGGCGAGTGACCTTGCTCTGAGACGCCTCGTCGGCGGCAAGATTCCCATTCGCTCGATCCATGTCACCAAATACGGCCTTATTCACAGAGAGAGGGAGAGAGAGAGAGGACTTACCAGGTAAGAGAGAGATATAGGGAGGAAAGAGTGTCTGTGAAGACGAGAGGAAGTGAAAGAGAAACAGAGAGGAAAAGGTCTACAGGGGCTGTTTGGAAATTAGTAAAGAATCTGAGGGTGTGTTTGTCAACTGATTCCTTCAGCCCACCATTACTGAAATCTCAGTATCTGTAAATCTGCAACGGGAGGAGCCCCAGCGGCTGGATTTTTCAAGCGTTTACACCAGAAAACGGCGATTCGTTTTTCTGGCTTTGATCTGAAATTACCGAACTGGCCATCTGAATTTGGTGGAATTACTCTATGCAATGCTTTGAGTCATCTTTTTCTTGGTAAAGACCTTGACTGGAGTCTAGGGGTGGTGCTGCTGGAAGGGGACGACTTTTTGTATTTATGGAGAAACATATGAATTAACATTTAATTAGAGCATAATTAAATCCTTAAAAAGGTGCTTAATTGCTTTCAATTATGAGTCAAGGTTTAGCTAGTATTTTCTAGTGTCGGATATTCAAACGGTACTCTATATGTTATAATATAAGTAGAGATAATTTATTTTTTAGTATTTTTATTCTTATATTATGACACATGGAGTACTCCTTGAATACTATACACTTTGAAAGTTTTATCCTTTCCTTCCTGGTAAAGGGTTACAAGTTCAAGAAATTTTCATGTGTACTTGAAACTCTTGTCACGTAAATGTTATAATGAATTAAGGACATTGTTAATAAATTTTACTTTTAAGATAGTATCACAGTTTAATAATATTTTTCTTCGTTTATAAAGTCATGGCTCTCGTAAACGATGAGTTATATACCCTCCATTATATAAATGTTGTTACAAAGTACACTGACAAGATCAACTTACCTCAATTGCCATTTTTCATCGAAGGGAAAGTGTGAAATAAGGAAAATGTCATGGACTTTCTGAAAATTAGGGGACATGAATAATGTAGCTTAATTGCTATCTGAATCCTGAGCTAAGATATTTTTGGTCAAATGAAATCAAGTTTAGCTGTCATGGTTGAGATTAATAGAAATTAGGTGCTTCATTGTGTGTTAATTAATCTCAACTCAGTTGGAGAGCCACATATTCTAGTCACTAATCAAGAATATGGCTTCCGTCAAATCGGAAAACAACTTTGCTAAAAAAGATTGCCAGAATTATTCTTTTGACTTGGAGATGGAATTATAAAATGTTTCACACAATCGCATGAAATTTTGTAAGCATATCCTGAAGGTAGTCAACAACATGATTTTGGTATATTGGTGAACTTCTCGAATTCAAAGAATATTAACCAAAGCACATAATCCATTTTTTTATATGAAGGAACAAAGTATTGTCCTTAAAGACTTCCATTTTATATGACCCTCGATTCTAAACTAAGTGACATACGTTGAAGTTTTCTGTTTAAAGTGTTATCTGAACTATCTATTAACAGAATCATCTTTGTGTATGAAAACCAATTAGCCTTTCATTTGGAGGTATATTTTTGGCACAGTTGCATCGCTTTTGTGGGCACTGAATATAGACACCTACATTTAACACCCGTGCATAAGAAATGGTGTATATTGTGATTTTTTTAATTTTTTTAGTAGCGTCAACACATGTTGGCAATAAAAAACAATATTGTTGTAATGAATGTGATATATTAATCGGGATCACTTTCGTAAATATCATATCGTCTTTAAAAAGAATAACCAATATACATACTAGTGTAAAAAAGGTCGTACCCAGTGCACAAGGCTCCCGCTTTACGCAGGGTCTGGGAGAGGTGAATGTCGGCTAACCTTACCCCCATTTATGGAGAGGTTGCTCCCAAGTCTCGAACCCGAGACCTACCGCTCATGGACGAATGCACTTGCCATCGCACCAAGTGCGACCTCTAGTATACATACTAGTGTATCGTAGTTTAATGCCAAAAATACGAGTTGAATTAGCAGAAACTTCACCGATAAAAAGTTTTCAATTTGTTTAGTAGCTACTAGCAAGCTGGCATGAGAAACCCAAACAGTCTAGTACTCTAGTGTCGAAGGAGTTAAGAATCTCTTCGGATCATTGTCCTGAGTCTAATGATCAAGAAATTTGGACCACTCAAATTAAATTTTGCGGTTGCCATTAACCAATTTCATTAGTCCACCTCACATAAAATAAGAGTCCGAATCCCTCTCTTTTAAACGGTCCGAATTTCTTGATCTTAAGCTCCGGACTGTGAGATCCGGATTGGATCCCAACTCGTGCAATCTAATACTGAAGTGCTCATTATCCATATATATATATATATATTTTTTTTTCAGGTTTAGAGTTATGAAAATGATGAAAAGTTTTAGTTTATTTGAATTGAATATGTGCAAGAAAAATTGACGTTTTGTTCATTTTAAACGTTGCTGTTTCTGCAGTTGCTGTTATGCAGTTGACAGTTTATTGCGGTCTACCAACAACATCATGTGCATGCCGTGTCCAAGAGGCAACAAAGTTAGACTAGGTCGATCCGTTGACGCAGTCGACCATTCTCCTCTTGCTAATCCAACATATATAATGGATTTGGTCATCTACTGTTCTTTTACCTTTTTTTTGTGTGTGGAAACACTGTTCTTTTACTTTTGACAGCAACATATACTGTTTTTGTAGGATTATATTCGAACCGTATTATTCACCAGACACATTGTTCAATGATAAATGATTAATCAGATGTTTTTTCTTATTTTTTGCATGAGTTTGTTGACGTAAGTTCCTAGGGAGAGGGTGGGAGGGATTCAAAAAATCAAGTGTGCGCTTTAACAATTACTTGATGATTACGATTGCCACGCAGAAAAGTGATTAATAAATATTAAGGACGGGCAAGACATGATTAATTAACTGTTAATTGTAGGACATGAATACATCACCTTAGTACTCATTCATTGTTCGCAAAGAGAGTCATGATATCTTAATTAATTAATTAATCATAAAGGCCATGGGAATCTTACAGCAAGTAGCGGTTTGGTTATTTTGGTAATTAGCGGTGTAAACTATGTAAAGTGGGTTGCTTTTAACCTAGACACGAAAACGACGTCGAACAGGTAAAACGCGTCCAGCAATCCCATTATCTCATGTCTAGCCATTAACTTTGAATGAAATGATTATAACTTTGTTTTTTTAAAGAAAATAAATATTAAACTTGAGGAGGAACTTGTAGCTTAAGTAGCTAACTATTTTTATCTTGACATGTATTCGAGGCATTGTTTCGTTTTTGCCATTCTTAATATCCTCTCTCTCTCTCTCTCTCTCTCTCTCTCTCTCTATGTATATATAATATTTAAACATTAATTCTCGTAATTAATTAACTACAGAATTTTCATATTTTGTCGCTCCAAAAATAACATAATTTTCCATGCTATTTTGAAATATGAGATATTCTAGATATTTTAACTGTTAACTTTTTATATAAAAATACAAAAACGAATGATCAAAATACATATAATATCTTATACACCGAATCACCCTAAATTTTTTTGAAAAGCAAATGTCCATATTGTGCAATCTGAAAGAAAGTAAATGGTTTGACCCTAAATAAAAGTGAGTGAAAGAGTACTGGAAGGAAGGATACGTTATATTGTTTGTTTGGCCAAGTTGCATGCATGAGGGAGGGAGGGAGGGAGTCAACACGGTATTGACGTGTGCGGCTGCGGCTTCCTAAACCCTTTCGTAGTCTGTTTTTATTTTGTCCAAAAACAAGAATCATTTGACATTAACATTCACTTCACACCTTATATCCAAAATTTAATATTGGATCAATCACTTAGTATTATGTTGTAGTGATATTTTTTTTATTTGTAAGTAAAAAATCTTATGTTCAATTTTCGTCAAAAATAAATTTGAACCCCCTTATTGATATCTCATTGTGAGATTTAGCTCACTCCTGAACCTTATAGTGCATGTAATATCATTTGTTAAAAAAAATGGAATATTGCAAAGATTGAACGTTGAAATTAAGATTAAAAAGCGTAGCTCTTGGGGTCATTTGAACCCGATGACCCCACCTTATCTCCACCATTGGGAACAATTCAACGAAAACTTAATTTCTTGTCAAATTATATTGAGCCTTGCATGAGACTTATAGCTCAAATTGTCAAGAGCATTTACCTATGCACCTGAGGGGTCATTGATCCCTCTTATAATAATTTAAGTGAACAAAAAGAAGAACAACATCCTTAATTATGAAGTTAAGAAACAAATACAGCCTTAAAACAATTTAGAAATATCTGCAGCCGTTATAAATGGCATATCTCACTGTACAAAGTTAATATTAACACTATTCGATCATGCTGCTTAATTAATAGGAAACATATCTAATTAAACAGAAGTAACAAAAATCTCAAAGCTTTAGAGAAAGATCGGGTGAAGACGAACTTGTACTATTTCTTGGTTCCATGCTTGTTCCTGTATTCATATTTGGATTTTGGGCTAATTGATGACCTCCAGCTCCCTCACCCACCTGTCGGAAACTCCCGGGCCAAAACATGCCCACATCATCCTCGTCCATAAACATCGGCACTCCAAAATAGCCCTGACGAAACCTTGCTACGCCTCTTGTGTCGGGGACAAGGAACCTCTGATGATCTGATGTTATCATAGTGTTTTGGTGCACTGCAGAATGAGCTTGGATACCAAGAGACCGGAACGCTGAAGGCGCAGAACGATGTAAGGGGAGAGATGCCAAGCTAGTATACCTATCGGGAAACATTCCCATACGCATAGCACGCTTGGCCATTGTCCTCTCCCTCTTATGAGCATTCTGATGGCCACCGAGTGCCTGTGAGCTATAGAACTTACGCTTACAGTAGTTGCATGAGAATACCCTTGGGATTGTTCCTTCTGAAGTAGGGGGTGCAGCTGCTTCACTGCTAGTCTCCCCCGTGCCCTTCAATTCAGTGTCGCCTGAGCTAAACTGGAGTGTCAAGTGAAGGGAAACAGGCCGGGGATCTTGTTGTTGATGCTTCTGATTTGTGAGGCACGAAGAAGTGGTTGTGCTGTCCTTAGAGGGGTCAGGAGATTCTTCTTGCAGAGGTATGCTCGAATAAGTTACTTGGCTCGTGACTTCTGAATCATTTTCAAATTCCAAGTTCAAGTTTTGTGTTAACATGTTTCGGCAGGACAATGAAGTCAAGGACTTCGTTTCTTCTATATGAGCGTAATCACACGAAGAGTTCAATAAACTTTCTTAGAGTGTCGTTGTTAGCTTGCCCTTCACCTGCAATCATGAATGCCAAAATGAGTCATCTTCCATGACAAGGTGGGATTCTTTCTTCTCCTCCATTTCATAGCAACAGAATTTGAAAAGGAGGATCAATGATGGTGGAAATTGAGTACTCGAGCAGGATGCATGTCAAAACACAAAAGAAAACATTTCATGTCATCTAATAAAGACCAATTAATCGATCATCAACTTAATTATCACAGTCTTGATAACATTTTAACATACAAAACACATTCCATGCGATCTGCAACTAGGAAATTAGATAGTTGAACAATTTCGCATAAAAAATATGATCGACAATGTTCCATTGGCATACTACATAACCGAAACTCATAAAACGATTTTATCCAACACAGTACACAACTTCCTAGTTCCTATAGAATATGGGGTTTTGCAAGCTCTGAACGTATGAACATTCTCTAAAAGTAATATATTATGACTTGGAAGCTGATACGTGGTTTTGGAAACTGAACGGAGCTTGGAAGGCATTGGGATTCAAACGCACAAGGTGTCCAAGAACATATTGTGCTCTGGGGTGCCTTTGTGTCTCTTTGGTCAAAAGAGGATATCCGTCCTCTACAAGGCGGGGGAATCATCAGTTATCTCTAAGTACTCCGAAGCTATAGTGAGGAATCAGTAAACCAACGGCTATTAGTTATCTCTAAGTGGCATTTAAATGGAAAGACGAAACAACCATCCACCAAGTATTGAAGACGAGAGGTTACAGTAATTGGAGAACATGATGAAATCCTAAACCTCCAGGAGCATCACTAAGAACGGAAGACGAAAGTCAACAAATTAGGAAATCGATATGCTCATATATACTTCAACAAGTTACCTTAAAACACTAAGCATGAACAAACTAACAACGCAATCGCTGTTGTTCCGTGTGATTATAAGAGATAATCACATCATTGGAGTATAACATGCGTGGACATACATTACAAATTTTAAGGTAGTTTTCGCATACCAGTACTCTTAAAACTGCAGAATACCAAGTGCAATTTAACATCAAAAGCCCCGATCGGGGAGAAATCCATACTTTATATGTTGTCAATAATACATAATTCATCAACATGACAATACCAGTTAGCGTATTTGAATTTTGTTATCATACTGGAGCTTGCTTTTCACCTTTCACCTTTCACTTTTGGTAATCTACCACAACCGGTTAAGTTTCCTGTAATAATATATGCATCCAAACCAAAAGGTCCAACTTCAGAAAAAAACATAATCCTTTCTTTGTTTTGGGGAAGAAAGAAAAGCCACCAGGAAAATCACACTACAAAGAAAACCAGAAAGCATGGACTGGATGGATACATACAAAAAAATATATGAGAAGCACAAAATCAACCAGAACTCACCAGGTATGTACAATTGAATACCAACGTGAAATTGGAGACGTGGGGTTAGGCCGGTGTGCTTCCCCTTACACCAAGTTCGAATCGCGCTCGTAGATCAGACTAGTTTAAAATCTTGTGAAGAACAATACCAACAAAACTAGAAATTTAGAAAAGATAGCACGTAGTATGTTGAATTGCAGTGATTAAACAGTCGAAAACCAATAAAAAGAAATCGGATTAAATTATGAGCAGCAAGCAACCTAGGACTACAGTGACAGCATTCAAAAGCACACAAAAGCTGCTATCAAAATCAAATCTAGAGAGAGAGAGAGAGAGTTGAAACCTGTATAGTATTGAAGGTGCAGGCAGGCAGGCTAGCTATCAGCTATGGATTAGGGACATGGGTGCTGCCTGTGCGTTCAAGTCACTTGGGAAAGTGCAAGCAAAGTACCACCAACACCACCACAAAGAAATGACTAAAAACTGGCATCTGGGTTTTTTTATTGTGTATATTTTGACTTTTACCAGAAAAGTAGTGGGCAAAAGAAATTAAAGGAGAAATAAATGAGGATAAGATGAGGGAAGGAAGAGAAAGACAGATGCAAAGAAAAGTTGTACTGTTAAGGAAAAGAAGGAGTGCCGGATCTTTTTCGAAGATTTCAGGAATTCGTGATTTGTGTCTATTTATCGTATATCATATGATTATAAATTATTTTAAATTTAAAAATAAACCTAAACAATACTAGGCAAAACAAATTGTACAGTGCACGATTAACGAATTTTTAAAATCATCACCAACTGTGGTTACTGTTGGGAAAAGAAGGGCTGTGGTTACTGTTGTAGGAGAGAGAGAGAGAGAGAGAGATGGGGACGATGATGGTGTCAAGTCAGACAATTTAGTGTGTGATAATTCAGATAATATATTATTAATCACTCTCATTTTTGTTGAATTTTGAGATGCTCTTCCTTAACCAATGAGATGAGATGAGAGAGAAAGACAGAGAGGAGGGAGAGAGAGAGAGAAGCAAACAAAGAGACAGAGAGAGCAAAGGGGTACTTCAAGTATAAAAGATACTCGCAAAGACCAGTGTCTCTTTGCTCTTTCTTTTCTTTCACTTTTAAATCAAGGAAAATACTAAGGAGGTAAGATTTTCTATAAACTTATTATTCGATGCTTCATGTTTTTGCACAATTTTTCTATTAATGTTATAAAATTTTAGGTAAAAAATATAAAATGACGAAAAATTCATAAAGAATTTCTCTTTAAAAAAGTCTTCTTAACATTTCTTTTCAAACAAAGAAGGCACATGGTTATAAGTTCATATCATAGGCCCATACATGGATATTTCTTATTTTTATCCCATTTGCATCTTATTTTATTTAATTTTTTATTTATCATTTTATAAATACATGTGCTTACCTTAAATGTGGGTCCACAAATTTCTTGCAAGATCTCATCTTGATTTGTGAAATGACCGAACTAGATCGCAAAAATGATAAAAAAAAAAAGGCGATGTCTTTCTTGTAATTCGATAACGACATTCCCCTTGTCAAGGGATAGATTTTTCAGTTTAATCGAAATACAGAGTGATATATCACGTATCATTATATAAATAATAAGATACGCGTGTTAAAAGATTAATAATTTAAAAAATAAAATTTATCATCATTTATATAAAAACACATGATGTATCACTTATGTTCTAATCACAATAAAAAAATTCTCTAGTCAGGGTAGTAAGCTTTAAATTAATCAAATTTTCATCCCTGCTCATTATTTCATAATTATTTATTATGTATCATTCCGTGTTTCGATCACATTAAAAAATCTCTCTACGCCCTGGTGACCATCCCTTTCACCAACTCCAAAACCTATTTAATTTTAAAAGTACCAAATAATAAAGAAATGGCCGACCACTAGAACGTGGCGCTGACATGTGTAATCCACGATAAGAAAAGTAGTAATCTCCACTTCCTTTAGAGAAATTTTTTAATATTCCAAAATACATTCTTATATAACAAGTGTGTAATACAAGTTGTTAAAGTTTTTTTATTCAATTACTTGTATTATTTTGATAAAAAAAAAATACTTGTATTATAACACTGAGTGTAGCGGCCGTGTTCACACAAAATATCTCCTCCTCAGGCTGGGGGTAGAAACTAGAAAGAGCACTGAGCACCATAATTTAAATATAATAATTGTGAGATTAAAGCATGTTACTGTTTGTTTAGTGTGTGATTTCGATTTGTATTATTTTTTTAATATGCTTCGAGCTCTTACCCATTATTCTAATATCTGCTTCCTGTTTGTTTTATACTTTTATATTCTATGATTAACAATTTAACACATGGGTTTTTGGCAAAACAAAACGTCACTCAAAATTCTGGCCTAGGAAGAAAAAAGCACTTTGGGCTTTTACAAAAAGAACTTTATCCCTGGGCTCAAAATTCAGGTGACAGAAACTAAGGCTAAGTCTCATGTACATTATGGGTTTGCAAAAAGAAAAATGTTTGGTTGGATAAGACTATCTTCAAGATTACAATGTTGGGCTAGCGGCTCAATACTATGCTAATTTAACCACTTACATGGTCTGAAAAAAATGTAGATTTTATCATAAAATTTTTACGTGCAATTAGTAGTAGAACCATTCAAATATAAGTAATTTTATTCTATCAACTTTTTATGTGCAATTGCATGCTTCAACAAACATGAAGACTAACATGCCATTGACGAGCTACATGTAATGGTCGACAAACTTCATCAGGGTATCCTACTAATGTGGCACTTATGTTAGGAATGATCAACGTGAGCTAAGTGAGATCAAAATACAGAAAAATATTATATTTTTACTAAAAATGCTCTACAAGTGGCGTAGCAAATATTTTCGACCTGATAACTCTTTAGACCAGCGTGAAGCAAGTGAGAGCACGATACATTCAAACCTTTGTCTATGAGGGCCGTGTATGGTGTTCCTATCCCAAGTTTTATGTGTTCCTACCCCAAGTTTTAGAGAACTTTAACGAAAAGTTTTCGGTACTGTTCATTTTAACGAAAAATCATATTTTTACATTAAAAAGTCAATCACGAGACTATTTACTTTACCCTTTATTTTGTCCCTTACCATTAAAACTCAAAATTTTTAAATCTTTTTCATTAATTTTCTTCAAGTTTTACTCATACGGTGAGTGGAATATTTAGTCATGAGTTTTATCATCAAACTTTTGGGTACTGTGAGTAGTGACGGAGCAAAGTACACAACAGAACACTGCAATTCTGAAATCTCAAAATGCACTAATTGCAAATCGCCTGGTCAAGGTCACCCGTCGCCTGCCATCCCCACATCCACATGCATATGAAGCAAAGCAGGAAAATGGCAGAGATGACAAACTTAAAAGCCACGGCTGACGCATTCACCTCCGTCTATTTCGGTGCAAGGGATATGTTATCCACACAATCCTATTTATTTCTCATATATTCTTTATTAATTTATATTATATTATTTGATATTCTTCAATTTATTCAATCCAATAATCAAAATTTTAAAGTTTTTTTTATTAATTTTCCTCATATTTTACTCATACGGTGAGTGGAATATTTAGTCATGAGTTTTATCATTCAAACTTTCGGGTACCAGTGAGTAGTGATGGAGCAAAGTACACAACAGAACGCTGCAATTCTGAAATCTCCAAATGCACTAATTACAAATCGCCTGGTCAAGGTCAAGCCACCCGTCACCTGCCATCCCCACATCCACATGCATACGAAGCAAAGCAGGAAAATGGCAGAGATGACAAACTTAAAAGCCACGGCTGACGCATTCACCTCCGTCCATTTCAGAGGAATGGATGAGCTATCTACACAATCTTATTTATTTTTTATACATTTTTTGTTAATTTATATTATTTAATATTCTTCAATTTATTTTATCCGATAATTAAAAATTAAAAAAATAATATTAGAAGTAAAAAGGGATGTAGACAGATATCACATCCATGTAAACGAAACCACCAAGAGTTACAGTAATGATCCACAAAGAGTGTGTTAAGAAATACTAAAGAGATTCTTTTAAAAATTAGACTTTTTATAAATTTTCTACCACCTTACAGTTTAACATTAATTTTTACTCTAGCATTATAAAATATTAAATTAAAAATATGAAATGAGAAAAAGTATATGAAAAGTCTTATTTCGAGAGAGTCTAATTAATGCTTCTCCTGTATTTTCAGAAATGTGGTGAACCTCCTTCGTGCAAGTTCTTATCTTGTGGCCATGACTTGCACTGCAGTCTACAATACTGTTTCTGGTCAAATACTGCACGCAACCCACTGACTTACAGGCCGAATATTGCAAATCGTGACTCTAAAATATACAAGTTCAGCTATGTCATCTAATTAATCACTAATTTAACAAGCCAACATTAATTTCAAGCCCAACCAACATGGCAAAGATGTGAAAAAGAACGTAAATTTAAAGCCATATTTACATATTCCGGTGCGAATAAATTTACATCCCATAATTAAAAAAATAAAAAATAAATAAATATAAATGCTCATTTCAAGGCATTTTGCATGCCCTTGTACAGGCCAAGAAGTTTCTATTTAGCCCTACCACTAATTATCACTTGATCTTAATTACGAAAGAAATATATCTTCAAATATGACATAATCAATCTTATCGTTCACTTATAATATAACACATGTTGTACAGTTATACCATTATGTATTTCGGATACACAAATATTTCTCATCATGTATCTCAGCTAGTTTCTTGGACATATTCTTACAATCTCACAAGAATGCCAATTAATTAATTTGGTTACTTAATGACTTTGATTTTCTTGCTTTGACCAGCTATATGCTTTTGCCCCACTAAGTAATGGGGTATCTTCTTGTCTCAATACTAATCATTTTTATCTTGCTTTGGCAGTTGACTATGAGATTTGCTACGTTAATATTCCTAATCTTTTCATCTAGAATCTCTTATCTCGTTATTATTCTAAGATCATAAACAATAAGATAAAATTAATTAACAGTGTACCACAATTAATTATCATTTTGAGCCGGAATAGTTATTTAACACTTTAGCATTTGAGGTAAACATTTTCATTCAAATTTAATAAAATTTCTCATCTTTTGACACATTTTTTAAATAGAACACCTTACTGTACTAGGTATAAAACGCCAATAATGATTGGTTGATTTGGTAATGATTGTTCTCTTTGGTAGACCAAGATCTAGGTTCAAGTTCTGCTGCTGATAATCTCTCTTGGTGAGTGATTTGTAAACACAAAAAAAGAGGTTAAACCCCCCTCTATAAGCCCTCAAAGAAACTTAGGTATGCTCGTCTAAAAATTGAGTAGCCTCCCCCCCCCTAAGCTTTTTGTAATAAAAAAAAATGATAACGTCCGAGATCGATAAAGTGATTGAATTGCATATGGGGAATATCTATATATCACTAGCTACAAAAACTGTTCAGAAATGTGGGAACAATTTGCATTTCAATTATATAACAAGCTAACAACTGTGACATCTTCTACAAAAATAAAAAATAAAAAGCTAATTTACTTGGACAAAACTGAGTTTATCTGGAGTTAGATGCATGCATAATAAACACACAGTTGCAGTA